TTAAACATTAATTTGTGTTATTAATCAATTTAATTGCAATTCTAAGTTGTTTTAATTTTGTTTTCTAGGAAACATTGTTGGGAGAGACAATGGTACGGTTAAATCAATTTTATTTATGTAAATTACCACTTAATTTCATTTTTATTTTGATTATTATTATTTGATTGAAATAATTATATATAAATACTAACTTAGTTTATGTTTTTTTATTTTTTTAGGAAATGGTGTTTTGTAAATTAACTCTATTGAGGTAATTTTTAAGTTTTTTGGATTACGTAATTATATTTTAAGTTTGTAATATTATTCTTATTTTCTAAATTTTGTTTTAATCATTAATTTGAATAAATAAACACAATAATCTTTTTTATGTGCCGTAATATTTTAATATTATATTTATTTTTCATAAAATTAAATATTATGAATTAGGTAATATTTAATGTAAATTAATTGAATTAAATAAAAATTATATATTAATTTCAATATTAATTCAAGAAACTATTTTTTTAATTTTTTCATATTTATACCCATGTGACCTTTGTCGGTAAGTTGCCAAACTGAAAATTCCCGTGTGACATTGTCGATTCAAATTTTAGATACCATTCTCCTCGGTAATTAGTTGACCTACTCCACTTGGGAAGTCACTATTCATATTATGTAGAGACATGATTCTTGTCAGTAACCATTGCACGATGCCATCTGCAGAGACACTGTTTATTGTACTGGAAGACGTGCACTTGGTTGGTCGAGACATGATTCTTATCAGTAATTAGTGTACCATGCCAACTACAAAGATACAGTTTATTGCACTAGGAGACGTGTTGTTCGTCAGTAAATTACCGATGTGGGTTACCAAAAAGGAACTCTGGTAGTATTGTTCTGGGACAACTTTGGACACATGTGTTTTGTCGATAATTGGGAGTTAGTTTACCGATGTAACTTTTATCCACGTCGGTAAATGAATTATCGAGGCCACTTTCACCGATGACCCCATTGCCGATGTGATTTTTATTGGAAAGTTGATTTGCCGACGTGATTTCCTTTTTTTTTGACTTGATTCCTCGTTGGGAAATTTATGAATTCTAGTAGTGTAAGA